GATAATCTATTTGGTGCGACTATAATAAAACATAAAGAAAATGGCGTATTTCAAGACTAATGAATAGAAGCATTGTCCATTTCTTTGCGAAAACAAGAAGTATGGTGCAATGCTTTAGAAAAAAAAGGAAATTATAGGACAGAAAATTTGAAAATTTGAAAGAAGGTTGTTCTTAAAGATACATAATAGAAAAAAAAGAGCTAGCCAGATGATTTTCTTAAGAAATTTCAAAGTGAGAAAATTAAATTATTTCTTTCCATCTTTCAAACCTCACAAAGGAAAAAATATTCAACAATAGTTAAAATGAAAAAGTTAAATTATTAAGAGGTAAATAGCATTTCCTGTTAAGGTATTCATTTTCTTATTTGATTTGATACTTTAAAGGGACCGTTCGCAATATTACCACAGTAACAAAAATATAATAATAATAATAATAAAAAATAATTATCAAAAGTACTCAGGATATTATTGAAAATGCTATAAAATTGAAACAGATTTTTAAGTTTTTTCAACTTTTACAGATTTTCACTTCACTTTACAAGAACATTATTTTATGACGGTTCCTAGTTTATATTCCTTGAAACCTACCAATCTACTGAACACTCTTTCTTCCTTCGTGAACACAGTCCCTTTACCGTTTTAGTTAATTGTCCAGCTTAAACCTAAGGTTTAGTAAATCTAGGATATTTAAACAAAATGATGCATTAAACCGCAAACAGTTTAGTTCATCCAACCAGTTAATAACTACTATAATTTAAATTATTTTATTTAGAAGAAAATATCTAATATCTCATTCTTCTCCGCCTTCTCATGCTTCTCCTCCTTCTCCTTCTTCTCATTCTTATCCTCATACTTCTCCGCCTTCTACTGCTTCTCCTCCTTCTTCGCCTTCTCCTTCTTATCCTCATACTTCTCCTCCTTCTCCGCCTTTTTTGCTTCTCCTCGTTCTCATTCTTCTCCTTCTTTTCCTCCTTCTCCTCATTCTCCTCCTTCACCTTATTCTCCTTCTTCTCCTCATTCTCCTCCTTCTTCTCCTCCTTCTCCTTCTCCTCCTTCTACTCCTTCTCCTTCTTCTCCTTCACCTTCTCCTCCTTCTTCTTTTTTTCCTTGTCCTCCTTCTTCTCCTCCTTCTCCTCCTTCTCAATCTTCTCCTCCTTCTCCTCCTTCTCCTTCTTCTCCTTCACCTTCTNTCCTTCTCCTCCTTCTCTTCCTTCTCCTCCTTCTCCTCCTTCTCCTCCTTCTCCTCCTTCTCCTCCTTCTCCTAATTCTCCTTCTTCTCCTCCTTCTCCTCCTACTCCTCCTCATTATCCTCCTTCTTCTCCTCCTTCTCCTCCTTTTCCTCATCCTCCTTTTTCTCCTTCTCCTTCTTCTCCTTCTCCTCCTTCTCCTTCTTCTTTTCTAAGAAGCAAAGATCTAAACAAGCATTATTTTGCAAGTATACTAAGCATAAAAATAGAAACAATTAGAATGAAGAACGGTATATCAAATATATCTGTGAATCGTCAAATGAAAAATATGAATTATCTTGTCAAGATCGAATGTTTTGGGTTTTTCACACGCGGAACCTCAAAAATAAAACCTATCTGAAAACTAGATATAATCCAGACCTGTTTTAGTAAATTCACCGTTAAATAAATCATTGAATTAATCTTAAGAATAGTTAAGATACAGCTGGCGTGTATGAAGTGATAATGTTCGCGTAACAAATATTTGTTTCTTACATTAAATTTTAATTTTTGCGTCGATATTTTTATGCAGGGATGTTGATAGTTTAATATTAAGGTTAATACGTGTTAAAAAACATGGGGATTGAGTACTGAGTAATAAATAGTCTTCTTTCAGTTTTAATCTTACAGGTCGTCCCAATAAACATGGGAATTCAGTGACGAATTCGATATCGTCTTTTTAAATAATTCTTTGATTTAGTACAGTGATTCCTACTGAGAAAGCTGTAATCTGTAAGAGTTTCGTTTGCTTTGTTCACATTGTGTTTAATTGTTTATGTTTTGACTGCATACAGTTGTACTTAGTAAAACAAGAAAATTGCAGTATACAAACAAAATAAACTTGTCCGCATTCACTGTTAATCTTGAGGAGACATTATAAACACATCTTTACAGTCTTTTACCCTTTTCATAAAATAAACTCTAGCAGACATAATAATATTGTGGCTTTTTAAATTAGGTATTACAATGTTCATTCATAAAAAAGACGATATCCAATTCGTCAATGAATTCCCATGTATTTTGGGACACCCTGTATAAAAACTACAGTGTTTACCACACTCTACAAAGCATTCTAAAGAGTGAAAAAAGGCAATTGTACAGGGTGTCCCAAAAAACATGGGAATTCAGTGACGAATTTGATATCGTCTTTGTTATGAATTAGCATTGTAATGCCTAATTTCAAAAGCCATAATATTATTATGTCTGCTAGAGCTTATTTTATGAAAAGGGTAAAAGACTGTAAAGATGTGTCTATAATGTCTCCGCAAGATGAACAGTGAAGACAGACAAGTTTACTCTGTTTGTATACTGCAAAAACAAGTACAACTGTATGCAGTCAAAACATAAACAAACAAAATGTAAACATAGCAGACGAAACTCTTACAGATTACAGCTTTCTCAGTAGGTATCACTAAACTAAATCAAAGAATTATTTGAAAAGACGATATCGAATTCGTCACTGAATTCCCATGTTTTTTGGGACACCCTGTACTTTGAATAGTATTATCAATCAAAATATAAAGAGACAGATTCTAAACTTGTATGTAAAACATGTTTTACAAACTGGAGGTTTCTTCAGAGGCATTTCAATACTACAGGGGTTGGCATTTATTATTATCGGTGTTAATCGTGCAGTTTCTCTTTGTTTCCGTGTTTATGTGTACATCCATACTGTTTGAAAGTTTAAAAAATAATAATTGAAATTAAAAGTCGTCTTCTTTGCCTTGATATATACGACGACAATTGTTCAAACCAAATTACAAGGGTGATCTCTAAATCGTTACTCAATCACATCAAACCTCGTTATGTTCCGTTGAACACACTTTAAACAGTCAAGAACGATTTTAATGCTTTCCATTTTTTATTTTGACACTCCGTAAGTGATAATGATTTTTAGGTGAAAATGACATGAATTTTTCTCAAGAGTTTAATTCCGTTTTTAAAACTTTTTAGTCGGTATAAATACATCAAAAACAATTCTTGAAGTATTTTACGAAAACTGCACTTCCCCTGTTAAAAAAGTTAAATAATTTTCCAAGGCATAGAAATTTTATCTTAAATTATATGGCATCAGTTAAGTCTTTTTAAACTATTTAATATTATGTATATAATAAAATTTTGAAAGACGACATTTCAAATATATCTAGTGGCATTACTATAACTTAACCGTCGAGGCCTTAGTACTAGATTAATTAAACATGTTATTTAGATGAATCTTTATAGGCTTTCAAACTAAACACAATGGAAGAAACTTTTTTAATCGAAGAATTCTGCAGGGTGTCCCAATAAACATGGGAATTGAGAGACGACTTGAATATCGTCTTTGATTTCCGATAATTAATAAATGACACAAAGTGTATAAAAAAGATTACACTTTTTAAAAGCCTTTTTCAAAATCAGTGTCTTAAACGAATCACACCAGGGAGAGGGTGTAGAACAAGGTAATATGCTACTCTGACTAAATCAAGATTGCGCTGCCGACGCCCCTAAATCTCTTCTATTTGGCTGCTAGAACCTATTTATATTTATATTTAGATTATCCTGTATCGTCGCTGTGCTTTCTTGTACTTTTGCTAAGGATAAATATATTGACGGAAAAGGTAATTCTAAATTGAAATCATAAATTAATGCAAGTTACATTTTATACCATGTTTATATATTAAAAGATTATCAGAATATATTCATTTTGTCCATTCTCGCCATGAAGGCATCCTCCCCTGCACAGCTTCCAAACCTCATTTTACCTATTTGCGACAGTGCGCGTCCCCAGAGGGCTTCCGAACCTCCCCCAAACAGTCTTCGGGAAGGATCTTACATTTATAATCATCAATTTCTACTTTAAACGGGACTAATTTGATTATTTAAGCATGGTAGTCGATCTATAGTATCCCTAACATTTGCATAATATTTTTTTTTGAAAAATCTTATTTTAAGAGTTTTCAAAGAAATGGGGGTTTTCAGTCCAAATTCTTATCTAAAACATAAAATTTATACAACTTAGACACTTCTCTCAAAAGACAATTATTAAGCGGTCAAGCCTTATTTTACCAAAATAAGAGGTTTATGGAATAAACTCATATTGGCTGACCCTCTCCTTAATACCCGACCGGCCCACTGTGCGCCACCAAAATAATCTTCGTTTAAAGTAAACATATAAAAAATACATAAAAATATTATGAAATATCAACGATATACAATTGCGTCGAATAAAATTGGATGATTATAGGTTGTAATATCTGAATTATTTTTGGGAATTAAATTGAATTATTTACGATCTGAGTCGAAATTGTAACTTTCTAAATTTGTATTTACCCTACGTTCTTCGGTACGTATGAGTCGTTTTTAACAATTTTCTCCTTATAGAAGCAACAGATAGAAGTAAAATCAGTAGCAATCACCATTGAATTTGTTTTAAAATAATTGATCATTTAACAATTTTATTTTTATAATATGTAAAACTAGAATGCATAAAAGTATACATAAATAAATAGATAAATAAATAATTAAATTTAAATAAGGTAAACATATTTACAAATTTGACATAATAGATAGAATTCCACTATGATGAGGTTTTTGCTTCTTCTTCTCCTCTTTCTCCATCTTCTCAAATCTTCTCAATCTTCTCCTTTATCTGCTCCTTCTCTTCCTTCTCCTCCTTCTCCTTCTTCTCCTCCTTTTCCTCCTTTTCCTCCTTCTCCTCCTTCTGCTCCTTCTCCTCCTTCTCCTCCTTCTTCTCCTTCTTCTCCTCCTTCTCCTCCTTCTACTCCTTCTACTCCTTCTCCTTCTTCTCCTCCTTCTCCTTCTTCTCCTCCTTCTCCTCCTTCTCCTCCTTCTCCTCCTTCTCCTCCTTGTTATTTAGATCCTGGGAGCTAAAGCTGGACTGGCCTGTTTAGCAAAGTCCATCAGTGTATCAGAATCCTGAAAAATTTAAGTATTTTATTAAATCTATTTTGATAGGTCATACAAATACAGGGTTACCTATATAGGATGAGATTTTAATGACGACCTTAAACTTTTTCAAGCTAATTATGTAAAGGTTAAATTAAGTCCGTATAATATACTCTTCCCTGGTAAAATCGATAATTTTGCAATAAAAAAAAACAAGATAATAGTTGCTACGAACTATGAATGTAAGAAAGAAGGTTACATTATTTGTGTAAAGTCGTTACTTTGGACTATTTCCATAACCTCACCTTCTTTATATCCGTAAAAATAGTACAATTTTTTAGTGACACCCTAAAGTACTTTCAATAAATGATTGATATTCCCCCCCCCCCTCCTAATTTTCACAGAAGATGCACCTATTCCCTAAAATATATGTGCTTGTCTACAACAAAATTTAAAAAAATATACGCAATTTTACTATTTAATTTTATATATCTTACCTCGCAAATAAACCACTTCTTGTGATAGCAAGCAATATCATGCCAAACCTAAATATAAATATTCAACAAAATGTTTCATCTAACATGAACTGATACTTTGTCCAAAATTTATTTCCGTAAGATTTAGATTGGACAGAAATTAGCAGATGTTTGGATGTCAAAAAGTATTTCATCTTCCTCTTAAGGTTTATGAAAGAAAAAGTGACGTAGCGGGGGGTGGAAAAATTTCATTAAATCATAAAATGTTTGAAATTCTATATTTGTCCTACCGCTCCGTCTGCGTAGAAGTTATTTAGAACTCCAATACAAGCTTCATCATGCTTCCCTTCAACCTAGGCAATTATTCATAATAATATTTAGAACTCCGATACAAGCTTCATCATGCTTCCCTTCAACCTAGGCAATTATTCATAATAATATTCAGAACTCCGATACAAGCTTCATCATGCCTTCCTTTAACCTATTCATAATAATTCAAAATAAAACAACAATAGTTTGAAACACAAATGCATGTTTGTTTCAATTTAAAACTTCAGAAAAAGGAAAGTTTCCGTTAGGATGCAAGAGCTATACAGTCATTTCCAATATTTTAAAATTTACAGTGGTAGGCAATTTTACCAGTACAATAAAGACGACTTTTGATTAAAATTTTTATTTTTATCAAGCTGCTAAACAGCATGGATGGTATGAACATAACATAGAACTCAAGAGATGCTGTCAATTAAAAAAGATTCTCGATTTTATTGCTTGTAAACTTGTAATTCGAAAAAAGCTTGTTAACAATCAAAACTAAAAGAAAAAGTCTTTTTCATTGTATTGATATAATCGCTTACCACTGTAGAATATTTCTAAATTTTCTAAAAAGTTTCTAAATATTTTTGAATTTTGTACCTTGAATTCTCTGTTATCAGGTTGAGGATCCCCAGCACCCCCAGTCTAGCGACAGCGTAAATGTTTTTGTTTTTTTCATAAAAGAAGAAAATTGTTTTTTATCTTTAAATAAATTTTTTGATAAATAAATTTATTTTTTGTAAATATGATTACCCTCACTTTAAACAAAAATAAAACTTTTCCTCATTCTATAATTTAGATATCTTCTCGGCTTCCAAAATGATCAGATTTTAAGAAATTACTAAAATTATCAACATTTTCAATATTTCTTTTATTTCTAACTTTTCAAGAAAACCCGCATTTTAGAAAGCTTTTTCAAGCGTTGTTTTTATTCATTCTCAAAACTCTAAGAGGATCTTAAAGGGACTGTTAAGGTAAAATGAAAGGGGATATAGGCTGAAGCCTAAACATTTTAGGAGTTGATCGTGACCATTATTAGTTCTATCTGAAGTACTGTCTCGAAAAATTTGTATAAAACTGTGTCAAAGTAATACCAAAACTCATATATATCAACTCCTAACATTTTTAGGCTACATCCTATACCCCTTTTTATTTTACCTTAAATAGCCCCTTCAATGAAATTATTTTTAAATTAAACAAATCGAATTTAAAAGACGACATTTGTTCTGTTCCTTGCTCCAGTCTCCAGTTACTCGTCCGTCCTTACTTCCCAACCTTACTCCGGATCCAGCCCAAAACCATCCTGGATAGTGAATAGGGATATTTAGTCTTAATTTTAATGTTTTAACGCTAATATTCTAAATTTAAATATCTAGATTTAAATCTTAAGGGGAACAGTGCCTACAGTGGGGAGGGGGCAAAATTAACTACAGGGTGTCCCACGAAACATGACAGTTGGTGAATAGTTTTCAATGTCTTCTTCCATGATACTGTATCAGTTATTTAAGACTTTTTACAGTTTAATTCATTAAGCAAATCTTTTACTCAAATATATATTTGTTTGAAATCTATTTTACTAGTAATTACTGCCATTTAGTTTTTCTTATCATTATCTTTGGTATCAAACAACTATTAACCAACTGTCATGTGTCGTGGGACACCCTATATATGCCATAAACATAAGATCTGATTTACGTTTAAGACCTAGCAAGAATGAGAAGTGCCTAATACGTTGTTGTGTTGAAGTTTGTTAAACTGACCAAGAACTTTATTCAAAATTATTAAAAATAAGAAATGTCAAAATAGATACGATATTAAAAGTTCTAATGAATGGAAATATAATTTTTTGATTTTCTTGAATGAGTTTTCATTTCATCCGGGGATGACGTTTTTAGGTGAATATTGAATACAATGAAACCCTTAATAACGAATACATCGAAAGAATTCATCAAATGTCGTTTTCTTCACTTTCTAATAATGGAATGTTGCAGATATTTAGTTTTTTAATTAAATGATTATATGGAACTCTTTAAAACTGTTCCCGCATATTCATGGCTATTTATTTATTTTCGCAAATACTGAAATTTACGTAATATAGTATAAACTCATTGAAAAATTGTCAAGACGACATTTGATAAATTTTTCCGATGTATTCGATCATTATTAAGGGTTTCACTTTATATAATATTAAAATCATCTGGGTTAATGATATCTATCAAATGAATAGTTCAGACTAAACAGATAGAACAAAAATGCAGTCGTTGCCTTTTTAGTAACTTTTACAGTAAAACCCAAAAAACTGTGAAATTAGAAAACGAAATTTCAGCAATCATATGTGTATATATTTGATGTTTTAAAAATAGTTACTGGCAGCTTAAAAACCAACATATTGAGTAAAATGGGCCGGTGTACACTGCACAATTAATGAGTTATGTTTATAAAGATAAAATCATATATTCTTTTAACCAGTAATCACTGTATTCACATTTAATAAACCAATCATTAAAAACAGTTACTTAAGATGTATCTTCCTTCGTACAACTAAAGGGTGCCAACAAAGGAATGTGACTTTAATAATTACCATTATATTCCTTCTGATTAGATATAGGGTGTCCCAAATCATATTGGATCGTTTTATAGTAAAGCTAATTGGGATTTCCGGGACTAATTGGGATTAAAAAGAACGTATCATTTAAAAAGAAAAATGATATTGCTAATATAAAGATTTGCATTCTAGGTTTTTTTCATATTATATGTGCGTATTTTGGCATTAAAGCTTGGGCAAAATATAATATTATAGGGGACTCTCTGTATAAATAATAAAATAAAGATGGAAGCGGAATGAGTTCTGTTGAGTCGTCTCTAAATTGTCATATTTTTTACCATTTTCAATCACAGGCTGAAGGTCTTCTCTTTCACATCCTTCAAAATTGCACTTCCTTCCGGAAGTCCAAAAAAATCTGAGACAAGTTAATCAAAGTTTATAAAATATAAAAAAAACATTTGATTAAAATTTGACTGATCTTAGAATGGGTTATAGAAAAGATTTTCCGTTCAAAAGAAACATTACTTTATAAATAAACAAGAGTTAAGTTACGACATTATAATTGACTTCGATATTTGATAAACGAAGGCATTTGAACTTGACCCAGCTCCTGAGCATTCCAAATGTGATATGCCGTTTCTAAATCATAAAAATCGTGGAGTTAATGAATGGAATTTGAGAAAGAATATTCAATTGATTGAATTTAAACAAAATCCTAAATATCAAAATCGACTTTAAAAAATAGGCTGACCACATTTTGTACCAACTGGAGGGTAACAGGAATAGGGTGTTTATTGTTTTAAAATCATGTTATTGTGAAGGAAAGAATGTAGTAGCATGGATCGAAGCTAATATTGAAGTCGTCAAGAAATTCCCTAGGTTAAATGGGACACCTCGTATATAAAACATAAAATTTCACATATTTTTATCCAAAAACATCATTAATTTAAATTGATTAATCTGTTCCTAATTAGACCGTTGATCATTCTTGTTTTTACAAACTCATTTTCCTCTCTACAGAATCCACAATATTTGTTAAATTGTAAAAAAGGGATTGTAATCTAAACTAAACGTCAACTTTACAAAATGCGAAATTGACGAAGTTTTTAGGTAGAAAATTAATCAAACAAAAAGTTTGTGAAAGGTTTTTATAATATTATTTTCCTTGTTTCAATAGAAACCAGGTCCATGCAGTGTCTTCTACATATATTTCTTCCAGTCAACCAGTCTACCTAATCATATAATCAACCATAAACCAGTCTACTTAATCATATAATCAACCTTCAACCAGTCTACCTAATCATATAATCAACCATAAACCAGTCTACCTAATCATATAATCAACCATCAACCAGTCTACCTATTCATATAATCAACCATCAACCAGTCTACCTAATCATATAATCAACCATCAACCATTCTACCTAATCATATAATAAACCATAAACCAGTCTACCTAATCATATAATCAACCATTAACCGGTCTACCTAATCATATAATCAACCATTAACCAGTCTACCTAATCATATAATCCACCATTAACCAGTCTACCTAATCATATAATCAACCATCAACCAGTCTACCTAATTATATGATCAACCATTAACCAGTCTACCTAATCATATAATCAACCATAAACCAGTCTATCTAATCATATAATCAACCATAAACCAGTCTACCTAATCATATAATCAGCCATCAGCCAGTCTACCGAATCATATAATCAACCATCAGCCAGTCTACCTAATCATATAATCAACCATCAACCAGTCTACCTAATCATATAATCAACCATTAACCAGTCTACCGAATCATATAATCAACCATCAGCCAGTCTACCTAATCATATAATCAACCATCAGCCAGTCTACCTAATCATATAATCAACCATCAGCCCGTCTTCACCTAATGATATAATCAACCATATAATCAACATCAGCCAGTCTAAACCCAATGATATCGTGAACCATTAGATCATTTTCTACTTAAAAAGTTATTGAATTTGTTAACAAATAAAACGTATAATATTGTCAACCAAGAACAAGTCTACAAAATCATATGATCAAATTCTAACCAATCTTTAAAAATAATCAACTATCATCCATAAATCAATGAATCATTTGATCATTCAATCATTCAATCAGTTAACATATCAATGAATCGATCCCTCAATGAATCAGATAAATCAATAGACCAATTTATCAATCAATCGATCACTCAATCAATTAATGAATCAATAGATTAATCGATCAATCGATTACTCAATCAATCAATTGATCACTAAATCAATCAATTAATCAATCCTAACCTTAAGATCTTTAGTTAGTTCGTACTCCCAGCTGAAGAAGTAATTGTGTCCGTTGAAGTCGGCATGTCTGATCCTGTTTGCACAATCCTGCGAAAATAACTTTATAAAAAAAATTACGTTTAAAACTATGTTATACAATTATATTAGTTTATTTGATTATAAACTACAATGAGGAGGGCTTGAAATTTTGAATCTCATTTTTTGGTCCAAAACATTGCGAATAATATGTAACATTCTTTTCCGTTTGTTTTAAAAAATCAGACACGAAGATAATAGATGACACACATGACACAGAAAAAAATGGAGAAATTTATGCGACATCAGGGTTTGACTTTGTGACCTCTTGTTTTTAAATATTTACTATGCAAAGTGCTGTGTGCGATTTGTTCAGTAAAATCGTTTTTTTTGTTTAATAAATCTTTTAAAAACTACATTTCATGAAGTATTAACATAACACTTTTTACGAAGCACTGTTTCCGTTGCCTTGCATGCTCTTCATGTACTTAATATTTGATCTTAGAAATCCTTCAACATTTTCCCGGTTCATACTTTATTTTCCTAGTTCCTACTTCCTGATTCCTGGTAACTAGTTCCTGGTTCCTAGTTCCTGGTTCCTAGTTTCTATTTCCTTCTTTCTATAATTCGTAGTTCCTAGTTTCTAGTTACTGGTTCCTATAGTTCCTGGTTTCCAATTCCTAGTTCCTGACTCTTAGTTCCCAGTTCCTGGTTTCTAGTTCCTGTTCCTAGTTTCTAGTTACTTCCTAGTTTCTGATTCCTAGTTTCTAGTTCCAGGTTCCAGGTTCCTAGTTCCTAGTTTCTGGTTCCTAATTCCTAGTTCCTAGTTCCTAGTTCCTGGTTTCTGATTCCTGGTTCCTGAATCCTGGCTTCTGGTTCATAGTTCTTCGTTCCTGGTTCGTAATTCTTAGTTCTTTGTTCAGGACTAGGAAGGGTAAACACTAAACTAACCCCTAGGATTAGGAAGGGTAAACTAGCCTTAGGATTAGGGAGGGTAAACTATTCTTAGGATTAGGAAGGGTAAACTAACCTTAGGATTAGGAAGAGTAAACTAACCCTAGGATTAGGAAGGGTAAGCTAACCTTAGGATTAGGAAGGGTAAACTAACCTTAGGATTAGGAAGGGTAAACGAACCTTAGGATTAGGTAGGGTAAACGAACCTTAGGATTTGGTAGGGTAAACACTAAACAAACCCTAGGATTACGAAGGGTAAACTAACCTTAGAATTAGTAAGGGTAAACTAACCCTAGGATTAGGAAGGGTAAACTAACCTTAGGATTAGGAAGGGTAAGCTGACCGGTAAAGTTTGTATTTATCTCCTGCGCCCAACCAACAGCAAAACAGGGGAAAGGGGGTGGTCGTGTATCCAGGGAAGAACATTTGAATCGAATCCGTGGAAAATTTTAAATTCTTAGAAATGAAATGTTTGATGTATATTTGATACTTGACAAGATTTCAGGAAAACTAATCAGTAAAAATTTAATTAAAAGTTTCATCAGAATTTAACATAAGATTCAGCAATTTATAGTATTTTTATTTTCCTAGAATATATTGACGCTAGGTTTAGTAAATAATAAAACACCGGTCACCTGGACACTCACTACTGAAACAGACCGGTCATCTGGACACTCACTACTCATACCGACGGTCACCTGGACACTCACTACTCAAACAGACCGATCACCTGGACACTCACTACTCAAACATACCGGTCACCTTGACACTCACTACTCAAACAGACCGGTTACCTGGACACTCATTACTCAAACAGACCGGTCACCAGGACACCCACTACTCAGCAGACCGGTCACCTGGACACTCACTACTCAAACAGACCGGTTACCTGGACACCCACTATTCAAATAGACCGATCACTTGGACACTCACTACTCAAACAGATCGGTTACCTGGACACTCACTATTCAAACAGACTGATCACCTGGACACTCACTACTCAAACAGACCGGTCACCTGGACACTCACTACTCAAACAGACCGGTCACCTGGACACTCACTACTGAAAAAAATCACCAATATTCTCTCTGTTATGAGTTTATGAAAATAAAATATCTGTTTCCCTAAAAACACATAAATTCAATCCAGGCAAAATTTCTACACACCCCATATCTTGGATAATTACGAAAATGCCCTCCCTCCCTCGCACCTTTTATGATAATACCCTCCCTCCCTCGCATCTGGATATGTTTACTTCCGTTTTACATATTCAAGTTAAAGAAGTCAAAATGGGTTTCAAATCCAGGAGAGTAAACCTATTTAGTGATGTAGATAGGTAGATAATTGACCAATCATATATATATTTACCGACAGTCCTATTTCTACTGATGGATTGCCTGATAAGGATATCAGTCCTGGGATCGAAGGTCAACGCTTAAACACTTAAATAATACAAAACATATAAGATCTAAAGAAGAAAAACCTAGATTTTTCACCTGTCATACAGTCAAAACTTTTAGTGAAATTTTCATCCAATTGCACAAGTTTGAAAGCTCTAAACAACAGATAATGAAGTAATTCAAAATCTGTCATAAATCGTTTAAAAACGCACAAACATAGAAGCATATATAAGCATATATTAACCCAGAAAAACATGTGTTTCTTGTAAATCAGACCTTGAAACGGAATGGAGTAAAATCCATTCAAAGAGATATGTTATACTTTTATATATATACTTTGCTTGCCTGTCTGTCTGTTTGTTTGTATCCAGTAAATGTAAAAACTTCCGTCGGCAATGAATATTTTCTAATAGTTGAACAAATTCTCTTTAAATCCCCTATAATATGTCTAATCGACAGAAAAATCCGTGAAAACTTCTCCGAAGATTTACTTCGCATTTTCTAGGGATACGTAATCGGTTATGAAGAAGGGCAGAAGGTTAAGGTGATGAATAATGGGACGGGGTGTGGGACGTGCAGGTGGTGAGAGGGTTGAACTTTAATGGACTCTAATCCTTCTAAAAACGTGAACACTTTTTCAATAAAATAATTACGTTATCTTGCCAACTGAACACAAGGCCCGAAAATTATTTGTTTCCAAGATGAAAAGCAACCCAATAATGTTAGCTAAATAAATATATATTCCGTTTTGATTTTAATAATCGGGGGTTTTAAGCACACTGTTTTAAGATTTACTAAAGGTTTCTCATTTATCGTTTTTTAAGTTCTCTAAGCATCAAATCCCTGTAAAGACACGGGATGAAGGGGGTATCCCCTCGCCAAAAGGGGGGCCGGGGGGAGGGGGGTTTTGACAGGCTAAAAAAAGACAATATCTCACCTATAGATTAAACCCTTTATTGTGTGAAAATTATTTTTTTTATTATACAAATAACATTCCATCGCCCTGCACCCCTCCCTCCCTCATCACCTTTTCAAAATTACAGTGATAACCAGAAAACGCTGGAATAGGAAGACGACTTTTAAATTCAATTTGTGTCTTTAAATATTCCAATGAGCATGAGACACAGTAATTAAGCAATGTAAACAGACCCATTTCACTTGATTAGTGATTTAATAACTTACTAGTAACGCTATTTGCTTTGAAACAACATCAAATGCACTTTTATTTTGCTATAATGTCGTCTTCATATTATACAACTTTCTGGTTATTACTGTATACCTAACCTCCAGGAATGATTGAGACATTTTAAAATATTTGAAATCGAAAATATATTTGAAGATATTTTAGATGTATTGGCTGTGCGCAATATCAAAAATATTAACAAAAGGGACTTTTCAGTGTTTATTTTTAATATATTTTGTTGCGATAAAGGGACTGTGGGCAGGGTTTATTGGGTTAAGTAAACTGTTTTAACCCATGTATAATGTTTTTCTTGTAGTTTTATGATATCTTTCTCTGAGGGTGTAAGTTTTAAATATAAATAAAAAGTTCATGAAACTTTCTAGCATGAGAATGGAAAATGAGCTGACAACTTTAGAATGTGGATATTGAGATCAGTGCTTGATCTCCTCTTCAGATTATTATAATTTTTATCCACTAAAGTGCCTGAACTTCTTCCAAACAGAGTGTACCAAAAGAGAGGATTAAGAAAATCATAAGTTTCCACAGTGTCAGATTAAGCGATCGGGATTAATGGTATCCAATTCTAAAGTTTTCAGCTCTGACTTTTAAATGTTGTTAAAAGTACAATAATACTTGTTCAACGTGTATCGGCCAATTTTCAAGACAAAAAACAATAAGTTTTAATATGAGAGTATTAAGTAGAGCGTTATGACAACAAAAATTGGAACGGTGGGGAGGGGGGAATATATATATATATATATAATATACGTTGATAACGCAGAATTGGAAAACAAAAGGAAAATTTACAAATATGAGAAGAAACAGATTGAGAGGACCGTGGTATAACTTGTTATCCTGCCATATTTGATAATATTTACCCCTCATTATACTATTAAAGAATTAATGACGAATAATTTAGGGGAAATGACTCCATGTTTGGTCTTTAACCCCTGAACAACCTCGAATTAGTATGGGTCGCTCTTAGAGTAATTTAACTAGTACGCTAGTTTTCTAAAGTATAGCCTTGATATTTAAATAGTAATAAGATACTTATAGTCTTCTGAAAGTTATAAAAAATCATGCATTCGCAATCCTTGCTATAATTATTGAAATGTCATAAATGTCTGAGGTATACGTTGACATTGCGTGAATAACGTCTAACATGTCTGATTACTGCGTAAAAATGTCTAAAATGTCCGAGGTATCAATAGAGTAAAGACATTGCGTAAAAAGTGTTTGATGCCAATTCTGAACATTGGGAAATTTTCAGATGATTTCTTTCTTACAAAATATTCATAATCTGTCAATCATTGCGTATTCTGTATGTGAACCAAGCGTCTGATTCCTAACATTATACGCATTTAAATGGAAGTAAACTATTACGTAGATTTTGCGTCAAACTGTCAAGGCTCTATGCAACATGCAATTCTTTGAATATTTGCATCATGCGTCAATCCAGGAACAACGCTAAAAGATATAGAATTGTCAAAATATCATTTTACCACGAATTGCCATCTATAAAAATATTTTTACACGGGTATCAACAAGTGAATTTACCAAATTTAATTAAGTTTACGCAATTTTGATATTACAAATATTTAGAACTATTCGCATTATCCTAGAAGTTTCCTTGTTTTGTAACTTCATACTTATTATTATATTCATAAATTTACTTTCAACATTTAATATTGTTTTAGCAGTGTATGCAGTGCAATTATATAATAATAAAACCTTAAATCAAATGTTTAATACCTTGTTACAGTTGTCGACCACAAACTTGACATTTAACTCTTTATAAACTCTCTAATTTTGATTCTATTCCCTAATCTATGAAAATTATTGTCGCCATTAACTCCCTCCGTTCTAAAATCATTTAGTTGGATCATTGACAGTAGATAATCTAACTTAGCGAACAAAAAAGCGTGTTCAATCTTGCAATGGGTGTGTGAATGTATCATATATTATTGAAGGAAAAAGATTAAATGCTGAAAGACAAATGTAGAATAGAATAGAATAGAATAGAATAGAAGAGTTAGATAGATAGATAGATAGATAGATAGATAGATAGATAGATAGATAGATAGATAGATAGATAGATAGATAGATAGACAGAAAAATGGGGATTAGAAGAGAAAAAATTAAATAATGAAGCAGAAAATAGAAAAGGAAACAATGTCAGAAGAAATAAATAAATATGAATGAATAGAAGAGGAATGAACTGGAAGACAAGTATGAATGGATGAATAGAAGAGGGATGAATTGGAAGACAAGTGTGAATGGATGAATAGAAGAGGGATGAATTGGAAGACAAGTAAGAAAGAATTAATGGAAGAGGAATGAATTGGAAGACAAGTATGAATGGATGAATAGAAGAGGGATGAATTGGAAGACAAGTGTGAATGGATGAATAGAAGAGGGATGAATTGGAAGACAAGTAAGAAAGAATTAATGGAAGAGGAATGAATTGGAAGACAAGTATGAATGGATGAATAGAAGAGGGATGAATTGGAAGACAAGTGTGAATGGATGAATAGAAAAGGGATGAAATGGAAGACAAGTGTGAATGGATGAATAGAAGAGGAATGAATTGGAAGACAAGTAAGAAAGAATTAATAGAAGAGGAATGAATTGGAAGACAAGTATGAATGGATGAATAGAAGAAGGATGAATTGGAAGACAAGTGTGAATGGATGAATAGAAGAGGGATGAAATGGAAGACAAGTGTGAATGGATGAATAGAAGAGGAATGAATTGGAAGACAAGTATGAATGGATGAATAGAAGAGAGATGAAATGGAAGACAA